CTAATAAAGAAATTAGAACTAGATGTCCAGTTGATCAAGAAATTATGTCATTAATTGGTAGAACTACTTGGAATAATCGTAAAAGATCGATTTTAGGAATGATGCGTCCAGGTATAGCTAAAAAAACAAAAAAAGATGAACATATTAGAGAAAGTAGCGATAAAACCGGAAAAATACCTACATCTATACAATTTGGAATTGCAGGTGTAGTGACTTTACTATCAGGTTTTTTTGCCACAATGTCAGGAATATTTATGGAACGGGGTGAAGCTAAAACATATGCCTTAACCGGTAGTGTGATTGGTACGATTATTGGTGCAGCATGGTTGACTAAAGTAGCTTCAAGTAGATAAAAACTAAAAAAAAAAATGAAAATAAAAACAAAAAAAAGAATTTTCTTTTAATCAAATAAAAAAAAAATTTTCAGTTTGTTTGTTTGTTGCTCACATTTTTTTTTCAAATTAAAATTGAAACCACTATTTAAACACAAACATCGAATGCCCTGTTGATTCATAAAAAAAATTTTTCTATTTCTATTTTTACTTTGTTTGTCGATTTTTCTCCTAAGAAGTAATTTTCCATAAAACGAATAATGCGGCCATTCTTCTGGATGATTACATTGCTTTATGTGATTGACAATATTGATTGTTTTCAATTTATTTACAATGATATTCCTTCAAATTGTAACAGAAATAATATAATAGATTGTGTTGAATCTAATAAAAAAAAATATCCAAATTTAAATAGTGATTCTGTAAGTAAAGTATATTTTTTCAATTGGTAAGGAAAAAAAACAAACTCTTATTTCATTTCAATTCACACACACACAAACAGTCAAAAAATCCTCCATTAGATCAATGCTGTTTTTATGTGGAAAATTTACAATGTGCATATCCAACAGCATTAAAATGTGATCAAGAATGGGCTAAAAAATTATCAAAAACTGATTATACAAGAAGTATATGTGCCATTTATTCAAATAAAGAAATTAGAACTAGATGTCCAGTTGATCAGGAAATTATGTCATTAATTGGTAGAACTAGTTGGAATAATCGTAGAAGAAGATCAAGTGGTAAAAAATATAAATCGGGTAAAAGTAGAAAAACTAATCGAAAACAATAAAATATTGTGTTTTGAATTAAAAAGTTTTACGTTAAAAAAAACTCTTTGGTGTCTTTGCTAATTTGCTATTTATATAAAGAAAAGAATAGATCAAATGAAGAATACATTCTTTTTAATTTTTAATTAATCAAACTCTTAATCCAGACAGGTTAGTTTAGGTTAGGACTTATCATATTTCAATCGAAATAGAACAATTCAATTCAATTGCCTTGTTTGTCTAATTTGTCTGGGATCATCATGTATAGCTGATGAATACTGTGAAGTATTTGTTGATGGTGGTGGTGCAAGTGGACATGTTTTCAATGATCGGAAGTACTTCGTGAATCTCCATTCTTGCAATGTTAATGACATTATAACTTGAACAAGTTTGTGGTTCACTCTTTCCAAGGGCGTTTGCCTGGAACAACGACAACTAAGATACATGTTCCGAATCTAAATCGTAATCTGATTGTGGCAATTCTGTCTATCGCGATGGTTTGTTTTTAGTACAACCATTGTCATGTTATCTATGAATAATGTCGAATGAATTTTGTCGTCTAACCATCAACATATATTTTATTTTATTACATTGGTAGCAGAGTAGTAGAACTCGGTCAATATTAACTGATAAATTTTTTTTCTGTTGAAAAAATTCAAGCATGGTTTCAATGTGGTCTACAATTTTTATATTGTATATGTTTGATTTTCTTTCTTTAAATTGTGATTTTTTTCGTATTCTGCCTCGTTATTTTATTATTTTTTTCCTTTGTGATAATTTTTTGTTTTACGATGGCGCAGGGTACTTCGATATAATGCATCGAACATGATACAATGAATTGATCACATTGATCAGAGCAATTGGATTATGAATTTCAACCCTATCGATCAATTTAAACTTGTTCCTTTGTATACAATGGTCAAAACCTGTCAGAGTGGAAAAGTGTGGTATTGTGGACGTACTAACTGCTCTAGGTGTAAAACATTATATCGATCGAATATTTCTTGATGGAGATCCGGAATTTGATAATTATCATCTCCGTATTGGTGCATTCATGCGTCTAACCTTCGAGTTTAAATTTAAGAAATGGCAATTGAAAAATATCGAACACCGTACCATATTTATGACCAAAAATGTTAAAATTCCAATTTCTCGTAAAATCCGTATTGGGAAAGAATTAATGAATATGAGATATACGTCTGGTTCAATTCAAGGTTTTATCAACATTTTTTGAAGGTAAAATCGATGAATTAAACAAAGATTCGAATGATTTTGAAATAAAGGATGGTTTGAAGGCTGGATCTTATTGTGTACTATGGTTCCATGAAGATAGTACAAATTTGACTACTATTAGTAGTCAAAAAAGTATAATTCAAAATTTTCTGGTACTATTATTTTCGATTTTGGTAATGGCTATGGTCAAGTCAAAATTAGTAAAAAGTGTTTTATACACCTTTTGGACGTACAAGTATCTTGGGAAACGTCAGGGGCAAAAGGATCGAATGGATGGGTCACGTTTGGCGAAACAACGGGCTGCTGAACCAGGCAAATTCAATTTTTTCTAGCCTAGTCAAGGCTTTATCCCGGGACTCTTTCAAGAATGACAAAATTTTACCCACTTTAGCGTGATATTCACCGGATAGTTGCACATCTTCTGATATGTCGGTGCGTTTTTCTTCAATCTCCACCATCTGAGCAGCCAATAATCGTACCCTATCGTAAGCTATTATATTCCACGTGATTATTATGATGCATTTTTCTTGTGATGATGCAGAAAATTTGGAAAGAAGCTATTTGATCATGAAAAACAATTCGTTATTAAAATAAAATAGATTGATGGATTGCCTTATGGGTCTTTTACCTTTGTTACTTGGTCATTTAAATCAATTAGGTCGTATTTTAGCGGTAAATAATTGTAATATCGACAATTGAGAATTGCTCGATCAACAATCATTGAATATTATATTAAAATGTTAATTAGTTAATGTAATTGTTATTACTACTATATATACAGACCATAGTTCACTATTTTTAAATATCTTTCCACCACATACATCAACGCGCTATACTCTACCAAAAAACACAAACATCGAATCTTGATTTTTATAAAATTTTTTATTTTTACTTTGTCGATTTTTTTTCTCCTTTTCGAAAAAATAATTTTCAAAAAAAAAAATGATGCGACCATTGATCTTGGGGATGCTGATGACATTGCTTTATGTGATTGGCAATATTGAATGTCAATTTATTTACAGCGATATCCCTTTAAAATGTTACAAGCTTAGTATTGTATATTGTGTTGAATTTAATTTGAAAAAATATTCAAATTTAAGTCATGATTTTGTAAGTATATTTTTTTCAATTGTAAGAAAAAAAACTCTTATTTCATTTCAAACACACACACACACAGTCAAAACCTACATTGGATCATTGCTGTTTTTATCTGGAAAATTTACAATGTGCATATCCAGAAGCATTAAAATGTGATCCAGAATGGGCTAAAAAATTGGCAAAAACTGATTATACAAGAAGTTTATGTGCCACTTAT